AAATAATAGACAGTGAATTGTAGCTATTTAGAAAGAAGGGATACATGTGACATTGTTGCATGACTAGAAACAACAAGTAGTGAATTATAGCTTAGAGGTGCTTACATCATCTACAACCAATCCTCGCTCATATCCTCCCTATAATCTATAAGCCAGGGAGGACAATCTGGTTACTGCCCGGATAGGAGAGAGAAAGAAATTTTTAACACAACCAGACCCGCACTTTGTCCCTATATGTCTGAGTTGTCTACAAATCCTCATATCTAGCCCAAATATGGGGGATATGAGGGTTCGCGGACGCGCCCTATCAGTTTGACATGTAGGACGCGACCCAGCCTAGACCATTTATTTTCTTTATTCCTTTTCTTTTCTCCATATTCGCCGATCACATGCATGCAACTGAACAATTTAGGGCAAAGTGGGGTACATGCTTGCATGCATACACAAATGAAGGCTTAGAACGGACATGTCCGGACATTGATCAGACGCACCAGCCAACATTTGAGGAGCCAAATCTGAGGAGACCGGTTGTATATGCTCTTACAGGGTAGGGTGTGTGTACATGCATCTATAGAGGTGTGTGCATGTGCGTACATGTAAATATATGTGTTTGTACTGTGTTAAAAAATATTTACAGGTACAATATCGAAACAGAAAATAGGGCACACGACAATTTGAAATTGTGTGCACAAGTGAAAACTCCAAGAAGAAGACTTCAGCCTTGAATATTCCCTATGGTCGTAGAGACAGTAGCACCGGCCACACAACGCCTAGCACTCCTTTGTTAACTACCACATGCACGCCCTGATTGTCACCTTTTGACGAATGGTCTAGATGTTAATCGATTTCACGTGGCTAGTACCGAGACATAAGAATGTCTTTTTTGGACGCAACCGTACGTGTAGTAAACGGATCCATGCATGACGCGGCTACATGACACGTACGGAAATGCCCAGAGCACTAGGAGTGACCGGATCAGACCATCAGATTTGTATATAACTTCGAAAGAATCTGGCCAGCTTTTAGGGCATATTATATCATAATCATCACACAAACTCAAAGCTAGTGGCCGTACGTGTAGCACAAAATGCATCAACCAATCTTTTGCATGGTCGAGTGGTTGACAGTACGCGGACCCATGCATGAATTATAGCACGCGAAAGCATGGATGCATGCATGGGTTCACTCTCGGCGGCGTTCAAGCCGTGTAGACCTTAGAAAGAAGAAGGCCATCCCAGAAAGCTTCGGCGATACCGAGACGTTCCAAAAGCGACGCCTGCATGGCACACTCTGAGATCCAGATTTCCAGCTACAGTACCATGGCTGTCGGCGACGCGGTTTTCGAGGCGGGTAGGACAGGGCTGCTGCCTGCTGATCACATGTTGGATTCCCTGACAGTTGGACCATCCATGCATGCCTCCATGGTCCAAGCTGAGCAGCCATGGCGGTATACGGGCACGATGTGGCTGCGTGGCAGCATGGAAGCTACACGAGCTGGCCATCGGCCTGTTCGTGTACAGGCGTATTTCGTATGTATATATGGCCTTCGGCCTGGGACCGGAAGGTACGGCCGGACAACAGTTTGTCCCCTCCGCCGTATGCTGCCCGTCCAAAACCAAACATGTTTCCAACTTGTCGTATACTTGTATGAAATTTTGTACGCTCGCGGCTCGCCAACTCGCTATCACATGAGCAGGATCGGTCGTCCGGCGTTGTCGTCGGCTTCTTCAAGCAGCTATGGTCATCGTATGTACGAAAATAATTGAGATAACTATTTGTAAGTCACTGTTCAAGAGCCGTCTCATCTACCCACCACCTCCTCGTTTAGAGTGAATCATAAGAAACTACCACATTCACGTCAATAGGTCAATTCTGCCACCACTTTACATTATAGTTTTAAAATTCTAGTAAAAATGGTAGAATTTTAGTAGCCATAACGTAAAGTGGTGGCAAAATAGAACCTATGATTCGAATGTGGTAACTTTTTTGTAAGTTAGTACCTTGTCTTATTATGAGATTATTGCAACTATGAACAAAGTGAGGGCATCTTCACTGGACGAGATCAGCTAACTGCCAAGAAAGGCTTCGCGATGGTGAATCTTTTTATGCATTATTAGCGAAAGATTA